GCGTGACAACGCCCTGTTGCAAAGCGACTGTCCTTTGAAGGGTATTTTTGTGCCGTCTAAGTTTAAGATCGCAGCAGGTTGCGGGGTCGATGCAGCAGTGCAGCGCGCCCTGGCAAACCCCAAGAAGCCCGTGGCAAAAGCCAAGGGCGTTGACATCGCTGCCCCGAAGCCCAAGGCGAAGGCGGCCGCCAAGAAGGGCGCCGCCTCGGGCTCCAAAGGGCCTTAGGGGACCACGACCTCGCTCCCCCCCCCCTTGGCGTAGGACACGACCCCTGCGTTGGACAGAGCAACAAGTCATAATGTTGACGTTTCGTGCGTTCTCACTGGCCCATCCTGGAACGATCTCCAGTAGAGTTGCCCGGACCAGAATTATGAAACACCATGCGGCACAGCAACCGGAGACACAGACGATGACGACGGTGGCGGGGTCTGACTTGCACGTTGCACTCGCGGTCGTTCAAGGGGCAGCGTGCAGCTTTTTCGTCTCGCATCTGGCGCAAGTCATTTGAATTCAAGGGCTTGCACTGCGCGTGTGCGCAAGGCGCACAGAGAGCATCTGCGGGGCAGCGTGCTTGCATCTTCAGAAGAAGTTGGCTTGACTCACGTTCGGCAGTTTTTTTTGTCATTGGGGTCTGGCGCTGCTTGGGCAGCGTGGCGTCACACCGATATCGATCAGACGGTTGTTTATGGCGCAGGAGCATTGAATGGTAGCGGTCGCCCGCTGCACGCTGTTTCGTGTCTGCATTCTTGCTCTACGGGGGTGGCTCGCCCTGTAGCCCACGCACACCGAGGCCTTCGGCCACCGCCGCAGACCCCGACGCTGGAGACCTTGAAAATCGCAATGCCGCCACACATCTAAACATCTGTGGCCAACTCCTCCAGCAGCGGGTTCCCGCCCGTCTTCAGGGCCTTCGTTGCACCAGGTCTTTTGTGCCTGTGCGCCGACGGTGAAGGGCGGTTCGCGATGCCAGTCGTCATGATTCTGGGCGTTGGGATGTTTTAAGCCCTCGGCGCTCGCCAACCTCGGGATGTCCGTCGGGGGTGGGAGCGAGCGGCTCCGCGCAGACGGGCTCACAGCTGCTTTTGCAGACGTCGCTGCTCGGCTCGTGCGTGTGCGTCTGCCTTTGTGTTGCTAGCAAAGGGAGCGCCTGGGAGGCGCAGTTTCGTCGCTCAAAAACCTGACATTTTGCAAAAAGGCAAAAAATGAATGCTCATGTTATCTGCCCGTGCTGGCGACCAGCGCGGGTCGGGGGGGTCCGAGGCCCCCACACGTCCGCGCCCAGAGGACACGGCAGGGGAGAGGTGAACAGTAACGATGGCGAACTGCAACACATTCGTTCCCACTCGAGGCGACAGTGGCCCCAGCGAGGGCGTTCAACGCTGGACGTGCCACGGGGTGTAATTTCGGGCCCCAGGACCAATAAGAAAGAACCCGCGGCGTAAAATCAACATTTCGGATGGGGCCGAGGCCGCCCAGATGATCTCAGGAAAGGATGCCGTTGCACACTATGCGACCTACGCGGCGTCTGAAACCAATGTCCACGCCATCAAAACACGACCTCTCCGCAAGTCACGTGTCCATCTTGGGCGCATCCTCTCCGATCCCCCTCCACTTCTGGATTGATGGCTTGGCATGGGTGCCCAGGGGGATTTGTTGTGTTACGCCGCCTTCGCGGGCCAGCTTGCTGACCGTGGGCCACCGCGGATGGGGGAACAACGCCTTCGAATCAGGCGGGCGCAGCATTCTTTTTCCTCCTGCTCGTCCTGTCCCGTCCGCTAGTCCTCCTTCCTCCCCCCTTCATCCTTCCCCTCTCCTCTCTCTTCGTCCCCTTCCTCGTCCCTGTGTCCCCCCCGCTGTTTCTGCTGTTCCTTTTCCTTGCGCTACATCCCATGCTCCCAATATCCCGCCCCCCCCATCCTCCTCCTCATCATCCTCCTCCTCCTCCTCATCCTCCGCGTCCTCCTCGTCCTCATCCTCGTGAGTCTTCCTCGTCCTCCTCCTCCTGTTCGCCCTCCCCCTCCCCCCCCCGCCGCCTCTCCATTATGCTCCTCCTCCCTTCCTCTTCGTATTCGCCTTCCTCCTCCCCCTCGTCGTCGTCGTCCTCCTCTTATTTTGTCCCTCCTCCTCCTCCTCCTCCCCTCCCTCTCCTCCTTCCTCCTTCCGCGACGCCCATCTTTGCATGCCTGTCTGAACCGAGCGTTTCGTCTCTGGATGTGTAGTGCGTAAGGCGAGGCGAGAGCCAACGGAACATGCAACTGCGCCCTGGCATCGTTGCACCCTCACCAGGAAGCCTCTGGCACTGTGGGATCTCAGGGAACAGCCTTGCTCTGGCCAGGTCGGTGCCCAGGTCGTAACTGCAACGAGGCAGGGCCGATCGCGGTCGTTCCCTGCACGTCAAATCGATAGTGGTGCCCGCGGGCTACATTGCCCCTTGCGTTAGGTGTCAATACGTGCCAAGGCTAGTCAGGGGATGGTCGCTAGGTTAGGTCGCATTGCTCGCGGCATCCTTCGCCGCTCCCCGACCGCGCCCCCCAGCGCCACGGCGCCTCCGTGGAGTTTGGAGGGCCGCACGTGCATGTCTCCTCGCACATTCCACGTGGCCAAGGCAAGCGATTCGCCCAGGCCGTGCCCCACTTCACTACGCAATATTTCGCTCGTCGCTTTCTCCGCCCTCCTGTCCCCATCCCTTCCCTTCCGCCGCAGTTGGTTCCCCATTCGCCCCGTCCCCGTCATTTCGATTGCTTCGCTCTTCGCCTTCCCGTCGGCCCCCCTTCGGTTTTCCTCCGCCCCTCCTTCCCGCCCCCACCGCCCGCTGGTTCGTGCATGTCCCCCCCGCCAATTCGCTTCCACGGGATTCCGCCTCGCTCCCCCCGCTTTGTCGTCATCCACCCCTCCCTCTTTCTGCTTCCTTCCCGTCGCCTCCCCGCCCGTCTTCCCTATTTACCCCCGTTGGTTCGTTACCCTCCCTCGCTTCGAGCCCCCCTCCCCTTCTCAGCGCTCTCTATATTTGTTATGGCCATCCGCGTCCGTCTCATTGGTCTCTCTTTCTGTTCTTGATGCCCGCATCATGCGATGCCAGTGCTTCTGTTGTGTCCGCAGCGGGTGCTGGCGGATGGTGGCGGCGGCGGTGGCGTTGCATGCGTCGTGGCCGAGGTTCCGCCGCGGCATTGCCTTGCTTCGGTTCCTCTGTTCTTTATTCCCCTCCCGTTGCCATTTTGGTTCAAACCATGTGTGTTGTTGCTAGCGGCGCGAGGGCGTCTGCAAAGCGACTGTGGTCGCCCCGGCGCTTATCAGCGAGCGGCGCCGTGTGCGCCCGCAGACTGATGCCGACGCGCACGACGAACGCCGTGCACGCCCACCACCACGCGCCCTCATGGACGCCGTCGGCGGGATGCCGACCACTTGGCTGTGACCAACTGCCTCGCGCATCTTGCGAATCCGCGGCGCACGGCGCACCAGCGCGCAGGTTGGCTGCCCATGGGGTGCCAGTCCAGCGACGCTGGGCCGCGCGGGTGGCTCGAACAACCCGACCCCGAACATTGCGACGGAGCGCAGCTAGGCGAATCTGGCGCCCTCCGCTGGCCCGAGCGAGAAACACCAGTAGCGCAAGGGCGATCGCCGCGGCGGGCGCCGACATCGACGCCGAACAATGTTGCGGTAGGCCGACCGATTCTTTCATTGCCCGACAATTCATGTCGTGGCTGACGCGGGCGTCGCGGCAATGGCCCGCGCGGCAGGCGCCGCGATCGCGATTTAGATCGCGGCGATGCAGTTGAACAGCGGCGTGTCGAAACGTGCCAGATGTTAACTATGTCGCCCGCGTCGCGGCGACAAGTTGGACGAATGACGTCGCAAGAGCATCGCCGAATAGCAGCGTTGGGTGGTAGCCGAAGCACGCGGCCCGTAGCCCGCGCAAGGGAACCTTGCGCGGCCAGCGCGTGGATCTAGCGGCGCTGCTGCCGCGAATGGTGCGAGCGTGGTGTCGGGTGCTTGCGTGGCGCGGCAGATGCCCAACGCCGCTGCGCGGTAGTCGCGGTAGTGCGCCACAGGGACGCGGGGCAAGGTGTCAGAAATCCAACATCCGCGTGCCGTAGGTGGGGTGGTGTGGTGGTGTTTCTGGTCCAATTGGGAGGTTGACGCATGCGAGCCATGGGAGGTGGACGCACACGTGTTCCGTCGCGGCGCGGCAGAATGGAAGAAGAAACAACCATGTAAGCATAAACTTAACTACTTCTGTTTGTGTGGTTTTTCCTCTTCGACAGAAGCCGTCCGCTCGCGCGCTCGAGTTGCCGCGACGTGTCTGGCCGCGGAGGATAGAGATGGCGGGGAGGGGGGGCTGGGGAAGACAGGGGCGGGGAGCACGGCACTCGCCAGGGAACGAAGGTGGACGCAAACACACACACACACACAACCACACACAACCACACACAACCACACAAACACACACACACACACACACGACGCACGCACGCACGCACGCACGCACGCACGCACGCACGCACGCACGCACGCACGCACGCACGCACGCACGCACGCACACACGCACACACGCACACACGCGCACACGCACACGCACACGCACACGCACACGCACACGCACACGCACACGCACACGCACACGCACACGCACACGCACACGCACATACACATACACATACACATACACATACACATACACATACACATACACATACACATACACATACACATACACATACACATACACATACACATACACATACACATACAGATACACATACACATACACAGACACAGACACACACACACGCACACACACACGCACACACACACACACGCACACACGCACACACACACACACACACGCACGCACGCACGCACGCACACTAACATTGAGGAGGACGGCGAGCAGTAGGCACAAAAGGAGGGGAACACCGCCCACGCTTCGGCAACCACGCCCGCGCGGCACGAAAACCCCGGCCGCCAATCGGGCCGGCCTCGGCCCCCAGAGAACCCCCACCGGAAAGCGCCGATCCCTCCGTTGTCGCCAGGCGTCACGCACGCGGCGTTCGCGCGGTGCTCACGCCGCGGACTCCTCCCCGCGGTCCCGCAGGGTGCAGAGCCCCAGCTCCAGCGCCGCCCTGGCGCGGGGGGGGGGGCTTTCCTTCCCCTCCTCCTCCTCCTCCTCCACCTCCTCCTCCTCTTTCTTCTCCTCCTCCTCCTTCTCCTCCTCCTCCTCCTCCTCCTCCTCCTCCTCCTCCTCCCCCCCTCTTCCTCCTTTGCCTGCTACTTCTCCTCCTCCCCCTCCTTCTCCCCCTGCGCATCCTCCCTCCTGCTCAGGGAAAGATTATCGCCGCTCGCGCCTCCCGGGGAGGGGCAAGATCGAGTAGCTGCGCATGTTTGACACCCTCCCCCTCCGGGGGGGGCGTCTGTGGAAGAGGGCCAGGGGGGGGATGAGGAGTGAAGACGTTTTCCCCTGGTCCAGGCACAGTTGATCGCCCTGTTCGGTTAGGTGGAGCCGCCATGTATGGTAAGGACTCGCCGCCATGGGTTTTGGCTCTTATCCCTGGCGTAGTTTTGGCGGCTATCTCGCCTGTCCCCTTGGTCCTTGGCGGCCCTGTTCAATTCACCGCGTTCAGATGCTGATTCGCGTCCTCGAGCGCTTGGTTAATCTGTGTGGTTGATCCTAGATTGGTCAGCGGAGGCTCACCTCGTTCAGCTTCATGATTCCGTGCTCGCTGTTGCACGGACTCTCCCGCTTCTTGATCGCGCGTTGAGCCTCGCTGGTGGTTCCCCTTGGGGAGCTCATCGCCCCTTTCCTGCAACTGGCCATTCGCCTCTTTGAGCATGCTGCTGCTTTCGGTTAGCGCCGCGTCACAATCCATTACGCCGCCAGCCACCCACTCCTTTTGGAATCGTGAACTTGCTCGCGTTACTGTCTATCGCCTGATCCACGGAGTCCGCTACGTGACAGCCTGATGACACGCTTGTCCATAATGGCCGTGGCGTGCTCTAAACTCTAAACACTTGCTTTGCCAGATGGCGTCGTGAACCAGGCTGCTCAGTTGCAGGACGTACTCCATTCCATTCTGTCCTCAATGTCGCCCACGCTTTCCTTGGTTAGGGGCCCTGGGTCGCTGAGGTCAATGTCCTGTCCATGCACTGCTGGGCGTTCGATATTGAAGAAACACGGGCTCCACGAGATCAGCTCCAGCCATGATGAGTGGGTCGAATCATTCAAGAAGTTGAGTGTGAGAGGTAGGAATTGCAGGGAGGTCTGTCGCAATGCCTGGCACTGAAATGGCTGCGGATCAGTCAGCACTCCGTTGCCGGTGTTCCCTTCCTCAAATGTTGTCCTGTATGTACCAAGCATTTGCATGTTCGTGTTGCGTCTGTCCGCATAGTTGGTTTTTGCATCAGCTCAGTTATCGCCCGTGCCAGCCTCTGTCACGTTGGTGCACCCACTTCACGTCCTCCTGTGTGCCTCACTTTGCCCAGCCCACGTCTGCTCGCAATAGCTATTGCTGCAGTAGCGCCGCTCTTGAACTCGATTGCGCAAGAGTCCTGTGAAATCTGAGAACCGACTGCAAACCCCATGCTACGGACGCAGCGGACGCTCCTTTTACCGTACCATCGTACTCTGCCTCACCTGATGATGACGATCATGATCGAAGTACTGCTCGTATGGAACTCCAAAAGCGTATGATATGACGACCCCACATCACCACTCCTCCGCTAGGAGATCCCCTCTTTTTCTTACATTCAGCACAATCCGTGTTTATCCACGAGATAAATTCGTATGGCATGTTTTGATACTTGTACCTTTCTCTGGTCCAGTCGTCGCCTTTTCCATTTAGGTCCCGAACTTGGTCATTCTCTCCATGCTTCTACCGTGGGTGATGCCATGTGCCTGGCGAGTTCCCTCACAACGTACTGGATGATACATTTGTCGTGTGCTAGGCAATGGCTCGCGCCACCAATGTCTGATACTTCCCTCGACCTGCGATCCTCTTTCGCAGGACCTAGTCCCCCCCCCCTTCCGAGTCACATCAAAATCCTCTTGAATGTTCGTTACGACCCAACTCAGATCTTGCTCGTTCCCTAATTGTTTAAAACTCTGGCCGTGATTAATTAACCAGATGCGTCTGCCGTTGCCCGTCGGTCGCAAGAGCTGGGTAGAAGCATGAACTATGAAGGTGCTGGAATATTGGCCTGCCGCCCGCCCCCCGAGGGAGGGAAGAGGGAAACCGCTCCAGACTTGAAGTAGGAAAGCGGCTAAAGGTTATTGGGATGTGGGAATCCAGAAATACTGACTTCCAACGACCGACGTGTATGCTTGAACACACGTGGTGGTGGTCGCCATTGCGTACGCCCCGCTGTCTTACACACGCGAGTATATAATGCTCCCCTGTTGCTTGCTGCGGAACGCGTGCAACACATTGACTTGCGAAGTTTACCACACTTTCCAGCCTCGTACTCTCCCTATTGTAATCCCACATATGCTAGCAAACGTCGGCCCCAAAGAGTGTGATTCTAACAACCTGTGTGATGCAATATGTGTGGTGAAACCTATGTCGTGCAATCTAGGTAGTGCGTGTCATATGTGATTTATGGTGTGCAGTCGACGTGGTGCAGCATATGTTGTACAATCCATGTGGCGCAATCTATGCAGTTCAATAACTGTGGTGCAAGCTACGTGCTGCAGACTAAGTGGTGCAAACTATGTGGTGCAAACTAGACTGTGCAATCTATGTGGTGCAATCGATGTGATGCTATATGTGCTGAAATGTATGTTGTATATAAATATTGTGTATTCCACGTGGTCAAACAGATGTCGTGCACTCTACGCGGTGCGATTTATGCGTTTCAATCTACGTTGTGCAAGCCATGTAGGTCGGGCATGGTGGACCCGAGGCGAGAGAAAGGGCAGATGTCGTCGGCCGTTAGCTGGAACGCAGCCGGCCACGAGGCTGAGGCCGAGCAATGACCAGCAGCAGACCTGGCTGTTCTGCGCGGCCAAGAATAGAAGAAGAACAACCACACATACACATAAACTTTTGGCGCTCCGCGCGGATTTCTTGGATCCGCGCTGGACCCCCCTCCCCTTGCGCGCGAAGCGCGCCAGGGGCGGCGCCAGAGGCGCCGCCGGGGGGCCCAGGCGCGGATCCAGGAAATCCGCGCGGAGCGCCGATTTTGGTAGCAGGCTGGGTTCCTGGGTTCCCGGTTCCGGCTTCCTGGGTTCCCGGTTATTGGCTCCAGGCCGATTTCGGTGGGTTCTCGGTTCCCGGGCTCCCGGGTTCCCGGTTGATCTCCTCGGCGAAAGCCATCCACTGATTCCCAGAGATCCGACGTCGTGATTTTTTCTATACGGCGTCCCCAGAAGTCTCGAGCCATTCCCCCGGGACCGGCTTCTCATCCTGAGTCGTTTTTGGACGCTCCCGGGCCCGGCGAGGGCTCCTCGAGGCCGAAAGATCAGAAACACCTCCTCCGTCTTGATTTTTCCAATGCGTTGGATCTCTGGGTTGGAGTTGTCCTCTGGTGTACAGTGGGGGCTCGGCCACAAGAAACCTCCGCAAGAAACCCAACCCTGAAATCCGCGATTTGTTCAATGAAAATCCAAATTTGTCGCAAGATTGTACTGGGGCCCCATCGACGTCCAGGAAACCCAGGGCACCCTGGCAAAATCCAACTGGTTTCTTGGCACGCGCCCCCACTGTAAGTTTATGTCGATGTGGTTTGTTCTCCCCCCAGAAGAGGACCGCTGAAGCCCTTTGGGCAGGGCCTGGCGGGGAGGGCCGCGCGAGCGCGGGCGGCGTGCGGCCTGCCTGTCCGGGGGCGGCCTGTCTGGGTGCGGGCGGGCCGGCAGAGGCGCGCGGCGCGGAGGGCGTCAGGGCGGGCCTGTCCCCCTGCGGGCCGGTTTTCGAGGAGGAAGTAAAACCAGTCAAAACATATGCAGGCTCGATAAAAAAACAACGACTCGAAAACACTACTCGATCAACGACAACTACGCAGGGAACATTACAACTACGCAGGACAAATGAGAACTACTCAAAAAACTACGCAGGACAAATTCGAACTACTTAAAAAACTATCAAAACTATTCGATCAAAAAACTACTCCAAAAATCGTCCCCAGACTTAAAAACAAAAAACAACTATTTTGGGATGTTCCTCCTGTAGAGGGACAGGCCCGACTGAAGGATAGCTTTGGCCTGGGCGTCGTCGAGCTGCTGGGCGGCGCGGACGTCGCTGGCGCGCCAGCTTCGGTGGGAGGCGCCCTGGGTGGGGAGAAGGCGGTGCCGTTGGTGGCGCGGCAGTTGCCGGGGAAGGGCCGGAGGGTCGAAGTGAGCCCTCTTCCTCTTCCTCGTCTTCCTCGTCCTCGTCCTCCTCCTCCTCCTCGCCCTCCTCGTTCTCCTCCTCCTCCTCCTCCTCCTCCTCCTCCTCCTCCTCCTCCTCCTCCTCCTCCTCCTCCTCCCTATCCTTCTCCTCATTCTCTCGTCACCCCTGGAAGTGAGGCTGCGAAGGAGGAGGAGGAGGAGGAGAAAGACGGGGCGAGAGACGAGAGAATAGAAGGCGCGGCATTCCAAACAGCAATTTTGAGCCGATTGGTATTCACACAGGGGCAGATCTGCGTTCGAGCTGTCGCCACATGGTTGGTTGCTAAAGGAGTGTCCCCTGCTGGCCGAACTTCGCTCTCTGCCAAAAGGACAGGCTGCGCACTGCGCACTGCGCGCCCCGTCGCTGGATTTCAACGGCAGATGGTTGGACCAGGGGCTCGCTAAGGAGTGCCGGCTGCTGACCAACCGTAGCTCTCTGCCGAAGCGTTTTTTTTTTTTTTTTTTTTTTTTTTTTACAAAAAAACCTTAAAACAACTCTGCGTATTTATTCAAACTAGAACCACGCGCTTCGCTCGCGCTTAGAATCTAGCAAGCTCTACTTGTAGTCTACAATGTTTGGCATCGGGGGGCTAATCTTGTCACGCCGGTCGCCTCAGGGAGCTCCACCTGCGGCCCCAGAGACAGGCTTGGCTTAGCGTCCCTCGGCCCATGTCGGCACGTCCCTCACAGGGATCGTATGGCCTTCGGCCCATACCGCTACAACTACTGTGTCTGAGTTCTGGGCCAGAGGATTCTTGGATATGTACCTGTAATTCGGGGTCTCTTGGCATGCTTCTCGGGCGCCTCGTGGAGAGAGTTTTGAAGCTTCTTGTGGCCTCATGCGGGCCCTGTAGGGGGCCTTGTAAAACAGATCGCCACTGAGAGTGGTGCTAGTTGGCGCGAGCCTTGCACAGAAGTCTCAGAAGCCCTGGGCAACGGATATCCACTTGAATGGTGCAAACTGGTGCGGGCCACGCCCAGAAGTATCAGAAGCCCTGTGCAATAGACAGCCACTGGCAGTAGTGCGAATTGGCGCGAGCCCAGCACAGAAGTGCCAGAACGGACAGAGTAGGAACCGACGGAAAAGGAGGAGGAGAGGGGAGAAGAGAGGGAACCTCTGAACCGCCCGAACCATACGGAAAGCTTGCTGTCGATGTGAATGTGCCTCTTGGAGTCGCCATAGTCGCCAGCCCAGACCACAGTCCCGAGAGGAGCGGGAGCTGCCCTGTCAGGGCGGAGCGGAAGGCGTGACGGCGACGGACGTGGCGCGATCGGTGGGAACAGGAAGCAAGAGCTACAGCAGGGGCCCGACCACAAGAAACCTCCACAAAAAACCCAACCCTGAGACCACAGGGCGTCCAATGATTTGTGGTGTGGTCACGTCATGCCTTCCATAGCAAAACAATCGAAACCCAAGAAACTCAGGGCACCCTGGAGGCAAGCAGGGTGTTTCTTGGCATGGGTCTCCACTGTACAGTTGCCATGATGGGAGCAGTGGTTGATGCACAGGTGGTTGAAGCAGCGGTCGCGGTGAGAACGGGGCGGGTCAGATCCCCGTCTCGCTGTGCCGCAGGCCCAGCGCTGTGCGGGCGGGAAAGGTGTCCCGTCCGCTCGCGCACGGGTCGGCAGGCCCGGCCGCCCACCCCTAAGGGGAAGCCTGGGCATGGAAAGACGTGGTGCTGGGAACCTTAGTGGTGCTTGCTGCTGGAAGGTGGAGTAGCGGAACTGCCCTCTAGCTTGATGTTCGACGTCATATGCAGGGACCAGTAGTGGCCGCTGGTCAGCACAGCCTCGTGTCGCTGGTCTGCTCCGCGTCTGCTGACCTGCTCAGGATCACATTGCCGCTCCGCGTATCGTCGTGCTGCTGGTTCTGCCAGGCGTCCTGCTGCTGATCAACTCAGTGTCGTGCTGCTTGTCTGCTCAACGCTCCACATTGTGCTGCGGATCTGTTCCGCGTTTGGCTGCTGGTCTGTCCAGCGTCGTGTTGCTGGCCTCCTCAGCATCGACCTCCCAGCCTGGCCATCGACGTGATGCTGGTCGTCTCCGCAGCGCGTTACCTCGGCGCCGTGCTGCTGCGTTGCTCTGCGTCGTGGTTAAGCCCCTGACAGGTTGAGCCTCTGTCTCCCGCGCTCGAACCGGGCCCCTGGACAGGGGTAGGGGGAGGAGGAGGAGGAGGAGGGAGGAGAGGAGGGAGGAGGAGGAGGAGGAAGAAGAGGAGGAAGAAGAGGAGGAGGAAAAGGAGGAGGAAGAGAGGGAGGAAGAGGGGGAGGAAGAGGAGGAGGAAGAGGAGGAAGAGAGGGAGGAAGAGGGGGATGAGGAGGAGGAAGAGGAGGACAGAGGAGGAGGACGAGAAGGAGGAGGAGGAGGACGAGGAGGACGAGCAGAGGGAGAAACTGTGCAGGACGAGGTAAGGAAGGAAGTAGGGAGCAGGATGAGACGTCGGCCCTCGATCCTGCATCATTATGTGGCGTCTGTCGTGTTGTCTCACCCCTGCGAGCACTCGCGTCTGAGTGGCTGCATCCTACAGGAGTATACCTTCAGCGCCCCCAGCACAGCGAGAAGGACGAGATCCTCCTCCTTCTCCTCCTCCTCCTCCTTCTCCTCCTCCTCCACCTCCTCCTCCTCCCTCCCTCCCTCCCTCCCTCCCTCCCTCCCTCCCTCCATCCCCACAACGTTTACGTTCTCCTCCTCGTCCTAATTGTCGTTCCCCCCCCCTCCTTCTATTCAAGCCTCAGCGTCCTGGCACTTCTCTCGCTCATCGCCACGCCATCGTCGTCGTCCTCCTCCTTCTCCCGTCCCTCATCCCGCTGCCCCTCCCCCCAATTCCCCTCGCCTATTCCAACTCCTCCAACTCCTCTTCTTCCTCCTCCTCCTCTTTTTTTCTATTCCACCTCCTTGGTATCCTCCTGTTTCTGCTCCAGCATCGTCCTCGTCGTCCTTCCATTCTTCTCGTCCGTCCTGGCAGCATTCGCCATCGCGGAGCTCCACCGGGACATCATGTCCTCGAAGCTCGTGCCCTGGCGGAAAAGCGAAACCGCCGAGAGGGCGTTTACCGACCGCACCTTTCTGGGAGAGGAGCAGACGCAGGCGGGGGAGGGGGGGGGACCGAGGCGGGGGGAGGAGGACGAGGAGGAACATGAAAACGAGCATCACGGAGACGAGACAGTGACAGAAAATAATGAGGCGGAGGAAGGATGGTGAGGATAAGGAAGACGCGGAGGAGTGGAAGGATGACGAGACGTGGAACCCAACCAAGCCTCAGAGAGGCGAATCGCTGGAATGGCTTGCACACTTCTGGGAGGGAGGGGGGGGGGTGAGGGAGGAGCAGGGAGGATCATGGAGGAGGAGGAGGAGGAGGAGGAGGAGGAGGAAGAGGAGGAGGAGGAGGAGGAGGAGGAGGACGAGGACGACGAAGAGGTGGACCATTCCTTATCCAATTCTAACTCTGGAAATTCCTTATCCAATTCCGTTCTACCTCCTTTTGTCCTTCCTGGCCTAGACCTCTGCAGTATCAATTCCCGTCACAATTATTGCTGTACTTGCATACAGCGCGCGCTACAACAAATAATTCCTAAACCCATTAACGCTGTACGGTAGCCAAGAGAAAACTATAGCAGGACCAGGAAGAGCAGGACCCATCTTGCTGCTGTTCTCCAGGTAGCGGTAATCGCGAGCCGTGGAAAGCTGCTCATCTTGATGCCATTCGCCTTCACATGGCTGTGAAGGGGAATCCTGGGGCGGTAGTCCGGTGTCCCTGTTGCCGTCTGCGGCTCCCCACGCTCGCTAGCCCGAGGCGGACCATCGACCCAGGCCGTTGTCGAGTCGAAAAAGGAGCCCTCGCCATTGGTGCCTTTCCCGCCGGGGTGGGGGTCCCGAGGGGGGGGGGTCCTGGGCGGGCCCCGGGGATGGTAGGTGGGCTGTTCTGAAGCGGCCAGGCGCCTGAGCCCCAACGGCGCCAGCCGTGGGCAGGTCGAGGAGGGTGCGCTTACCTGCAGGTGCGCGGGCGCGCCTCCTCGAAGGACCCTGCGGGCGGTGCGATGGCAGCACAGGCGGCGGCGACGGCGGTGCCCAGTTTTGTCGGGCGGCGGCTCATGGGGGCCCGCCCCGGCCCAGGATGCCTGCCACTCCTGGGAACTTGAGGCCCCCCCCCCCACGCGATGGGAGTGAGGCACCACGGATCGGGTTATGCGGCGCCCGTCGTACTTGAGTACCACACCCCAGAAATAAGTTCGAGCACCCGGAGAAGTGTCGAAAGAGCGTCGGGAGAGTGTCGAAATAGTGTTTCCCAGGGCCCGACACGTGAAAATCATAGAGTTTCGGTACTTTTTTTCTGGCGCTCGAAATTATGTCTGGTGATCCAGGCTAAAGCAGGTTGGGACATCATAAGGAGAGGGCAGGCGCTCGAGACGCCCATCAAGTTCGAGGGCGAAAGGAGAGTTTCGATCGGTCGCGCCCGCGCGCCGGCGGGAAAGCCGGGAGGCAGCTTGCCGAGGGGGGCGCCAGCAGCGACGGGGTTCCACGCGACCCATCGGGACGGGGGCCACTCCCGCGCGCTGGCGGGAGAATTGAGAGGCAGCCCACGGTGGAGGGCGCCAGCAGCGGCGGGAGCCACGCCCGCACACGCGCGGGGGAACGCGGCCGCCGCGCGGCCGCGAACGGACGTCTTCAGCAAGGCGAAGGCGCTGGACCACGGCGAGGGCGCCCTTCCTGCCTTTTGGGGCCCCCGTCCTTCCGCTGCGGGCGGTGGCGAAGGCCCCGTGCGGGGGGGGGGAACCTCGGCTTCGGAGGGCCCCATGGAAGTCGGCGTCTGCGCACGCGCGGCGGCGAACGTGGCGTTGGTGCCGCGCAGCGGGGAAAATGGAGAGAGGCGAGAAGGTGGACGGGGCCAGACGCCCGCAGCGTCCAGAGAGGGCCTCGGCATCCTTTTCTCTCCGGGTCTCCTCTCCCCTCCGCGCCCCCCCTATACGCCAATTCGCCTGCCAGTCCCCGCTGGCGCGAGCTTGCCGCCCGCGGCCCAGAGGCCCTCTTCTTGCCGGGCCTGTCGACGCTGGGGGGCCAGGCGCGCGCCGGCCCCGGGGGTGGTCTTTCCCCGACGAGGTCGTCTCCGCGACGCACAGGCGCCCCTTTCCCAGCCGCCATCTCTTTTGCGCAGACGACGCCACGTTCGACCATCTCCACCCTCCGAGAGGCACTCGGTCTAGGTGGTGCAGTCGCAGCGGAGGCCGATCCAGAACAGCCCAAGGCCGCCCCGCGTCTTGGCCTTCCTCCCAAGGAAACCGAAGGCCCCGACGTGGATGGGCCCGATGGGGGCAGCCCGCTTCCTGCGTCGCCCAGGGCCGATCGCCTCTACGTAAATCGTCGGCATGGGCAAGCTGCCCCACGGGTCAGGACGTTGCCCAGCAAGCGGAAGATCGCTTGCAGCGAGGTGCCGAACCGCATGGCCCATCACTCCGGAGCGCTAGGGATGCCGAAGGTGCCGACTGTGTCACCGTGGAACTCGTCCGCGAGCTCGCTGGCCATATGCACTAACACAAACTTCTACATCACACCACATGGTTGTCCACAAAGCACCGTACGATATACGAGGAGAACCGGTTGGGATTATCGTGTGCACCCATGTGTCCAATAAGCAACCACGCGGCTG